AAAACATGTTTCACATTTCACTTCGCGAAAAACGCATGTGAGCAGTGAATAACGCGTAAAGCACAAGATGTGTTTTACGTGATATAAGGTGATTCGTCCGGTGTGATTCGCGAAGTGTTTTCAACCCACTTCATACAGCGAATATCGCTTTCTTCACATAGAGTATTACGCCACTTCACGTAAAACGGGCAAAACCCCCAATGAAATGAATATTAGAGCTGAAGTCCGGAAACAGCACAGAGACCTTGGGTTGATGTTGAACGGAGTCGACAGTTTTTTTCAGTAAATTCAAAAAAGTAAATTTGAAGTTATTTTCGGCCAGTAGTATGAAAATGAAAAGTAATTTTTATGTTAGATTGAAAGGCTCGAGAAGGAAAGGCAAGTGAATAAAGAGCGACTTATCGAACAGCAATCAGCTAACCAACACGTGAGAGTCTGGTTGGGGATTTGACAATGAAGGTAAACTTAGTCGAAACACCGATTCGATGCCCGTAAAAAACGTGTAGAAGATCTGATCAAAGAAAGAGATCTTCTCAATAAGGACGTGCTCAAGTGAGGATATATTCGATGGAGTGCACGCAAATGTGAAGAATGTGTGTTTACTACTCCGGGATTAATGATAGTGAACAACTTGTCGCTATCATAGTCTCGTAAAGTTACTTTTATCACATCACATGTTCATAGCAATGTTTACATTCTCAGATCGATTCTCATTGATATCGGGGAATAACGCACAATTTTTTGTCTTTACAGAACCCTGTATTCTGCTACCTACTCTATATTGGAGTTTCACCACCCTAGTGATATGGAAAACACTAGTGAAAAACACATTTCACGACTACTGCAAGGCGCAAATATTGCGTTTTTCACGGAGTTTTACGCCACTTCACGTAAAACGGGTCGTGAATTTTCAATTTTCAATTTTCACAATTTTTCACGGGCCATTGTATCGAGAGAATTGATGATACATGAGAGTGGAATATTGGAGTTTCACCGGTGATACGGACAAACTGGTGAAAAACACATCTCTCATTACATTTCGCGAAAAACGCTTGTGAGCAGTTAATAACGCGTTTAGCACGTGGTGTGTTCTACGTGATTCGCGAAGCATTTTCAGTTCACTTCATATCGCGTTTTTCACATCAAGTATTACACCACTCTACGTAAAACGGGTGAAACTTCATTGGAGTTTCACCCTAGTGATATGAAAAACACTAGTGAAAACATATTTCACGACTACTGCATATCACCGCGAATATCGCGTTTTTCACCGAGTTTTACGCTACTCCACGTAAAATGGGTGGTGAAACTCCATTATATAATTGAACCGAATTGACAAAGATTGTATTGATACCAAAATTTTCTCTCTTTCTGAAGCAATACACACCGCGACATCTTCGGTATTGACTCAATACTATTGAGTATATAATCGTTGATCGTCTTTAGTACATACTGAATCATCAACGATTAGTATTCGTTGGAACTCACGGGGGAATTTCGCGTTAATCGCGAAATGTCGCGAGTATTTCACGTGAAATGGATTGGCTTGTCCGTGGTGATACTCGGTGTGATTTCACTTCACTCCATATCGCGTTTTTTTCACATAGAGTATTACGCTTCTTGAAGTGAAACGGGTGAAACTCCGCTGTTGTACCCTTAGTCTGTGTGAAGCTCGCTACTATTCTACAGTAGCCGCTTTTTGTTGACCAATTTTCGCGTCTTTCAGAGCGAGCGGGTCAACTAAACATTGGATAGATATGATTCGACGGCAGCAAGTGATATGTAGCAACATTGATCGTGAGCTTGACGTCGGGCAGAGGGAGTTACATAAAACTCAGAAAAGGGCAGCTGAAGTCGAGCAGCATATTGAGAGGTGACACTAGTGGTGACACGTTCAATTAGTAGTTTCCTGAATAATTATAGAAGTTGGTACTGTAGTATAAAGTTTATCCACGACATCGGGTGAAAGTTCCCAGAAACCAGCAAGATTTCCCGCAAAATTTTCATATTGTCACCAACACATGTAGTTGACCAGGTGTATAGTCCCTCACATACTGGACACGTTCCTATAGTTAATCTTTAGATATGCAGTGGAACTTTCAGAGGAGCACGCGAAGTACTTTGCTGCTCTTGATGAAGTAAAAGCGAGAGAAGCGAGGGTTTCTGAGGTGAGCTGAGATGATACGAGGGCGGGTATGTGTGTGGCATTAGATAGAGAAGATGGTAGAAAAAGAAGAGGAGAAACTTCAACAACAGCAAGCACTTTACGATTCAGTTCGAGCAGATAGGAATTTGTATTCTAAGAGCTTGATCGATTGCAACGCGGAGATCGAGGAGATGAAGAGAAAGTTTAAAATAGCATTTCACAGGTTATCAGACTGGACACTGCTGAGAAGGAGTTTTTGATATTTTCTGTGAATTAGGATTGAGCAAGTGAAAAGTGAAGTGAGGAAAAAAGAGGCGAAAATTGTGAATGTGGATCTCGAGAGAACGAGAATTGCCCGAGGAAATAATAGAATTAGAGAAAGCCTCGACAGTGGCTTGGAAAGAATACAAGGACTTAAATGCATTGGTAACATTCAAAAAGGAATGGTATGGTTTCATTGGAGTTTCACCACCGTAGTGATATGAAAAACAGTAGTGAAAAATACATGTTTCACTACTACTGCATATCACCGCGAATATCGAGTTTTTCACAGAGTATTACGCCACTTCATGCGAAAGGTGTGAAACTCCATTGATTGTTGATTCAGTTGATGTACAAAAAGGAGAATCTGAGAAACTCAAAGTGGTTATGGAAGAGGCAGAAGGAGAGGTGGCCAATTACGAGAAGGTGAGAGTTCGGACCTACTTTGTATCTTCCGTGGGAGGACCTAAGATACTCTCCTCTTGTAGGCGCTCGAATCGGTGGTGTCAGAGCGTGAACTGCTCGAAAAGCAACTGTCGAACCGTGAGGCCGAGGTGAAGAAGATGTATGAGAAAATACGTCTGCTGGAATCCGACTTGCGTCAAGGTAGGTTGGTGGAAAATTATTGCCAACATGTGAGATTTGGTAATCCCTACCTTTTTTTGCGCTTCACTAAGCGTCGTAG